TGATTTGAATTAAAGCATGTTTGGTCGTGGTATTTGTTTTTAAAAACATTACATAGTGTTTTGAGCATCTTTAAAAATAATTTGATTTATTTTTAAAAGTAAAAAATAAAGTCAAATAAAAAGTATACTAACCAAATATTTTTTTAAAATCAGAAGTAAAATCGAAATGAAAAGAGAAAACAAAAGTGATGTCAAACGGGTCCTAAGATTTGCATTTAACAGAAAATTGAGCAAGTTCTCGTTTCTCTATATATATTTTTGCATTTAATAGATGAAATAGTATAAAGTTCATATTGATATATATGCAATATTCTATAAATTAGTTAAAAAAAAAAGTAAAGAAAAAACTCATTGAATGAAATATTAAAGCAGAGGTGTGTAGTTAACATAGAATTGATTGAACAATTATCATATGGAAATTAATGTGTAATTAACATGCCTTTGGCTATTAATTTGATCTCACTTATCATTAAGTTTTGATCAATCTCAAATTAGACCGTGTATGTAAATTCTCAAAGATGGAATGTTTTGGGACCCCAAATGATTTTATTCTTTGACGTTTTTTGTAGCCCATTACAGATGTTGATTAAAAACTGCTCAAAAATTGCATAATGGTACTGATGGTGTATGTATATTCTCAAGGATCGAATGTTTTGGGACCCCAAATGATTTTATTCTTTGACGTTTTTTGTAGCCCATTACAGATGTTGATTAAAAACTGCTCAAAAATTGCATAATGGTACTGATGGTGTATGTATATTCTCAAGGATCGAATGTTTTGGGACCCCAAATGATTTTATTCTTTGACGTTTTTTGTTGCCCATCACAGATGTTGATTAAAAACTGCTTAAAAATTGCATAATGGCAGTTATAAAAGCAGTTTCATGTTATTCTTACTGTGCAAATTAATTGGACCATTTACTTTATTGATTTTAATAATGATATTATTATTATTATTATTATTATTATTATTATTATTATTATTATTATCCAGAAAGCTAAATAGAACTGGGATATTCTTGTTCTTGTTTCTTAGGATGGCATATTGTTTCAACCTGCAATGTAATATCCTTGTTATTTAGATAGGGGCTGTTTGATGAAATCTTTGATCTTATCACAGGTGATGACATTCATAGGAAAGAACCTGGGAAAACTTCAAAATTCGTCATTGTAAAATTGGCCTTAATTTAAATCCAAGAAAAAAGAATTATTCTGAAATTCTGTTTTGTAATTTGTTAGAATTGTAATAATTAGAGGCGTTTAGAGTACCTGTTTTTCCAGAATACGTTTGTAATTTGTTAGAATTGTAATAATTAGAGGCGTTTGTAACGGGACTATAAATAGCAAAGAAATCAGTGTAGAGACTATACTAATGTTGTGAATAGTAATGAGATTGAAGATGCCTTAAATGATTGTCTTTGTTAGTGCTGTTAAATTATGAGTTCTGGATTCTGTAGCCTTTCAAAAAAAAAGTTATGAAGAATTGACTTCAGAATTTTGGCAAGGTTTACATTCCTTGTGATGAATTTTTGAATATCATGTGAAAGAGCTTCTTTTGAACAATTTAAAATTTTCAGAATGTTAAGAATGTTCTAAATCGAGGAATTTGATATCTATAGAACAATTTGATGATGAAAAGCGTCAAACAAAGTATCTTGAATAGCCATTGAAGATTCCTCAAATTGTTCTTATGATAAGATTAAGAAGTAAATCTGCCACTTTATATATGACCAACAATGAGTAGGATGTTGTGGAAATAGTTTGAAAGTCTTGCTTTGTAGGTGAAAAGCGAGTAAGGAAAGAATGAAAGTTTTAACATTAAAAGAGAAGTTGTCTTTCCTAAATTTTTTGTATGTCAGCTTCAATGAAACGTGTTTCTGGACCTCCCCAAACCCCCCCACACCCCAACAGGCACACACACAACAACAAAAGAGAAAAAGAAGATAGAGCTTGCACATTCGGTTTTAACTAGGATTCTCGACAGAAAAAAGTATTAGAGCTTGTGCATTCAGATTTATGGGATCTCTTCTCATTTAAACTCTTTGGTTTTTTGCTCTACAATGTCTCGTTCTACAATGTGTTCATTACAGAAAAATCAAATAGATATAATGAATGTGATTTTAAGTTGAAGTGCTTGAGATCTAACAATGGTGTTGTTTGACATGGAAAAAAAAAGGATTTCTGTGCAGAAAATGGGATATGAATGGATAGAATCATCCCAAGAGCATTAAAACAGTTTTTGTATGGGGCATGAATTAACTCCTAATTGAACGTATCTCCACAAACATTTTGGGCAGGCTCAGTAAATATGATAACTTACCTGATGAACTAAAGGTACATCTGTTCCCATTAATGAAATGTTATTAGAAGTTGGGTAGTTAACTTAAATCGGTCACACCTTAGTGTTTATGATAGCATGTCATATCTAGACTTGGATTCTGATGCAAGTTAAGTTTCTGATAGCATGTCATATCTATACTTGGATTCTGATGCAAGACATTAACCGCTAATTCTCGGAAACATTTATCCTTTGGATGTGTAAATTTAGTTATCATTTTTTGGAATGACAAAATATGATAGTAGGAATTGAAATTTAAAGAATCTAATAGTGTTAAGAGAGCGAATTGAAAAGCATGAACAATTGAATTGAAAACATCTTTGAAGTATTGGGGAAGGGTAGTCATATTTTGACATATGCAAGAACAACCAAAGCTTGCTCGCCAATTTCTGATATTTGAAGTTTCCATAGAGTTTCTTAAAGTACTCATTATTGATTAATAAACTAACAACGATGTTGTTTTGCTCCATCGATTGATGATTTTGTTAATTTGAAATTAAACAATTAACCATGATTGATGAGATTTACTTCTTAAAGAAGCTAATATGATTGATTTCTCTTGAGTTACGTGTTATCTTGTTGAGAAGGAATAAGGTATGAGTTAAAAGTGATTGTGAAGAGTTACTGGTATTGAAAATACAGATAATGCTTATAGAACCTTTTTTTTTTAACCATGATTAAGCTTATTAACAAAAAAATCTGTAGTATTTCATCTGGGGCCCGACATTTCAAAAAATAATTGTGAGGTCTTTTGTTTTTTTTTCTCTTTATAGTTGTTTGAAAGAAGATATTTATATGGTGCAAACTTGAAGGCTTCCAAATTTCTAGCAAGAAATAGCTTTGTGCAAGCTAAGCATAAATGGGTTTGAAACAAACCCTAAACAAGAGTATGATATGTTTTATGCTTCTTGTTTAACAGCGGCTTAACAAGATCTGATTCTGATATGAATTATTACTTTTATTCTAAGAGGTTTGATAGTTTCTATGTTATATACATGCGGAGAGTAAATTTATAAATTTAAAAAAGAATTATCCAAGGTTCTTCCAGTGAAAGATCTGGGGAGCTATAAAGTAGATTTTTGTACTTTGCAACAGTAAATAGATTCTTGAATAAATTCAGAATGTTATACGGTGAAACTGTCAGTAGTTTCTTAGCAAGTTATTTCAAGTATTCAAAAGATCAATCACTCGTGACGAGTGGATGATGATTGTTGTGCATAATACTTTGTGTCAATGGTCGACATTGTTATGTATGGCATGGTCTTTTAGAAGTTAAATATAGGATGTGTAATTAGAGTTGTGAGCATGGTTTTTTGTTGTTGTTGTTGAAGTGAATAGATGAATTGAATGGACAATTTCTGAGAGGAATTAGGAAGTGAAATAGCATTGGGACAGTCAAATTGTAATTTATCTGTGGCCGCTCAACTATGATTTTTGCTGTAAAGTATCTTGTTTTTTATGTTAGGTCGAAGTATATTCTCTTTAACTATTGTTATATTGGTGGATTTCTATAACATTGAAACCTTTGGAGAATGTTAATAGTTTAGAGTGTTTAGTAGACATATAAACGAAGTAAATGGTTGCATAGGATTTAATCTTTTTGACATAATTACATAAAGGTGGTGGTTGTGAAATTTTGAAATGGTCGACTATTGGTGTTTTTTTGACTCTGGTTGTTCTTGTTGACTTGTTTTGTTGATTCATTCCCTCCTCCTGTTGAGAGAAGGAATGAATTAAGCAATTTACAGGTCGTGAATCCATTAGTGGCTACAATGACATTGGACTGCGTAAATGTCATGATGAAAGATTGAATTAAGCAATCATTATGTGGGCCTATTTTTGCAAGCAAAGAACAACATATTTCTCCAAAATCACATGGTTCAACAAGATACCCGCATATCAATATTTCTTCATTTTTGTAAGCAAAGAAGCAGAATTTGGAAGCTAATTGATCATGTATAATTTACAAAAAAAAGTCTATTAAAATGTCGTGATCAAGGAAAGTAATTATCTCTAACAGATTTATTGATCATTACTTTCTTTCAAAATTGCTCCTTATAGCACTGTGAAGCTGGACCATTGGTGTTGATCGGTGAATTGGAGCCAGGAGTTGAGGACCAGAGAAATATTTCTTTTTCAGAAAATTAAAAAATGATGGGTTGGAAGAATGTAGAGTTAGTTTTCTTGGAGTGAGATTGAATGTCTATATAGTTAATTTTGGTAGCATGTGACTGAAGCCCTTTAACCACGTAGTGCTCATTGGTGTCATTTAGTTTCCTTGGAGTGAGATTGGATGTCTATATAGTTAATTTTGGTAGCATGTGACTGAAGCCCTTTAACCACTTAGTGCTCATTGGTGTCATTTGGTGTAATTTATACTAATTGACAAACTTCTCATCTTAAAGTATAGTTTTATCATCTTATTTTAATTATTGAAAGCATGATGAGAGAAAAAGTCTATAATAAGTTAATTTACCCATTAAAATTATTACAACAGTAGTAATTTTGATTTTCCTATTTCTGATTCTTGAGGTTCTTCTTTCCTTATTTCCAACTATTTACAGCAACCATTGTTAAATACGCCCATTATGAAATTTAAATTTGAGTCTTTATATACATTTATATATCTATTCTCTCTCATGATGAATTGTTTGCTTTTAAGATATATGTGTTCCTCGAGGGTGTCAGTGAAGAAAAGGTTGAAAGTAACTTTCGAGAAATGGCGTTGGATGTAAAATTTCATGATGTCCAAGGAAAGAATTACCGCATTGCTATTCCGAAGCTGAATAAGGAGATTGTGCCTGAGAAATCTAAGGTGTTGGTCAAACCAACAAAAGTTATCATCTCGCTTCTCAAAGCTTCAAAAGGAAATTGGTTGGACCTCCATTTCAAGGAAGATAAGGTAAGCTGTTATACTGTTATTTGGATTCTGCTTTTTATTTATTTGTCTATTTTTTTCTTTCAAGGTGAAAAGCTGTTATACAGTTATCCGGATTCATAAGCTGTGATATGTGAATTTCATTTCAAAAAGCTAGACTTGAATATTTTTCAGTATTCAGATAAACTTTTTTATTTTTTTAAAATTGTAACATTTGCTAATTCTGTTTCCGGTCTGTCTAGCTGTGAAATTGCCTTCAGGGCAAGTGTTTAGCCGTTATTGTGCTAGTGATGTGAGTCTATCCACGAGCCGGCTTGAACTCGGCTAGAGTTGCTCGTGAATTGAGCTTGATGAGCTAATAAGCCAAGCTCAAACCTATCCCTTACTCAAGACGCTCATGAGCCGGCTTGTTTAAATGAATATTAATATAAATACACTCAATATATTTAATTTGAAAACTTATTTTTAAATATTAAAAATATTTGTATTTTATATTTAATATTAAGTAATTTCATATTATTTTTCGTTTAGTTTTTTGTCTATTTGTCATTTTATTACAACACCACCTCAAATTAATATTATTTTTTCTCTTTAATAATAAACAAGTTGGCTCGAACATTTAGACGTAAGCCTAAGCTCGAGCTCAAACCGAGGGTGGCTTTAGCTCGGCTCGACTCGTTTATACCCGGAATTGGATTTATATAGTTCTTTTATTATTTCACTCACTCCAATCAATGACCATTTATACCGTTGTTTTCACTGTCTTTGTTGTAGTTCAAGCCAAGCGCGGACAAGAGCAAGGATCCCATGGCTGGAATCATGGACTTGATGAAGGTGAGTTTTTAACTTCTTCCGGTGATTTCTGTGTTCTATTTTCATTGTCGCGCTGAGATTTTCATTTATATTTTTTATTTCAAGAATATGTATGATGATGGTGATGACGACATGAAGCGAACAATAGCCAAGGCTTGGACAGATGCAAGATCTGGAAAGACTGCAGATCCCCTAAAAGGTTATGGCCCTTGAATGCCGCTTATTATAAAGATATGAAAAAGAGGAAAAGAAAAATGATCTGATGGTGAATTTGCTTTCTGTTTAGTAGCTGTGCCTCATTTTGTGTACTTATTTATGTATTGGTTGCCGAGAGCTAGAACAATTTACTACTTGTTACCTCTCAGGCAAGTTTGCAAATGAATAAACTTCATGCATCAATATCTTGACGTTGGTTTGTATGTTTTTTTTTTCTTATTAATATTTAATTAATGCTTTGATTCTTAATATCTAAGAAGTATAGATGTGCGATTGCTTTGTATTCGAGGTAAGACCAAATTATGAGCCATACATTTCAATTTGTGATCCTCTGGATTATTGTGGTTGAAATCAATTATGAAGTTCTATTATAGAGATTTTAAATCAAATAAATAAATAAACATACATTCTAATAAAAACTGAAATCGGATGCAGAGAAGGGGCGCGTGCAGTGAATAAGATCCTTGCCATTGCACGCTCTGTAGCTGTTAAAGTCTGTATGGTCCTTTGATAGGAGAAAACTTTGCGTATACGCAGTGTTGCGTATGTCAGGGATGTTATTCAGTGGGTATTACGGGGTTTATTTGTATTATATCTTTTGTAACTTTCCTGTAACCTACCTGTAACCTATAAATATATGAAAATAGAAGCGTGAAACTTACTAGAAGGTACAGGGAGGTTATATGAGGTATAACAAGGATATAATCTCTTGATACCCTCTGAATAACCTCTCTGACATACGTAGCGTTGCGTATGTCTTACGTACACAAATTGTTCTCCTTCGATAGTCCATGGCTTGAATCAAATCAGAGGGTTCAACCCATCAGTTTGGTTCATTCATCAAGTGATTTATTTTGAATGTTTTATCGTCTGCCACCATATGGGGTGCATGTAAATAATAATCGTTTTGATGGCCGTGCATTTATTATCTGATTTTATGAAGTGGATGTAAATAAGTCTAAGTATAGGTAAAGTTGAGAATAAAGGATTTACTCGGCTTGATTTATCAAGCATTGAAACAAATAATACTATTGAGCACTAAGCCAGAAAACTGATTTAGGTTCAATTTACTAGGGTTTAAGGTAAAATTGGGACAAATAAATGATATAAATTTTATCAATTATCTTTCAGAAAGACTTCAACATCCATAATATCAAATCCTATAAAATTAAGATTTTGTATTTAAAATTTAAGATGTCAATAAAATTTGATCTTTTATCTTTTAAAAATACTTCAACATGCATATTATCAATTATTTTTTACTTTTAATAAGTTAAAGAAATTTATCTGCAAACTTAAATTTTAATTACAAAATCCTAATCTTATGGATATTCTCGCACTCTTGTGCCGTTTTAAATAATCGAATATTTCTTGGTATATGGATAGTGAGAAGAGTCAAAAGTCCCTTTTAATATGAAGGTACATGGGAGAAGGGATAGAGGCCAAAAATCCTACTACATAAAAATACTTCTATTTATAGGAGAGAGAAAGCTAAAAAGGAAAATTATATTTCTAACCCTGCTTTAAGGGATGATTGTATATGTTATTTTCGGAATTATACTCATATGGGCCCAGAGCTTTGATGTTCTTCGTTTTTATCGATCGGGCTAATGATGTGAGATGATTGGTGTTGTTGTTCAGTCTTTTGGATGGGGATCATCGATTGGTCGATTCTTCTAGTAATGGCGTCTGGGTGGACTATTGAAGACAACTGAAGAGATTGGTCTAGTCGGTTGGTGCAGGTCAGTTGAATGCATTGGGCTGCTCGTCAATCCTAAATTCCCATCGGGTAAATTCTTGTCAACTAAGTAGACTTAAGCCTTCAAAGGTTTTGGACGTGTAATCATTGAGTTAATTCAGAGGGTTTGTGGCTGGTGTCGGTCAATTGTTTTTTTTTTTTTTTTTTTTTTTTTATGTCGGGTCACTTTTCAGTAGATCCAACTTTGCCTAATCGTTTTTTTCTTGAGCCGTCGGATTGTCTCGAGATTCATGTTGACTCATTTTTTGTGTACAATTGGACCACGATATGACGTTATGAGATGATCGGTTCTTATATCATATTAATAAGTATTGTTAATTAGTTTGTTAACAATGCATAAATAATTTTGTACATATATAAATAGCCTCCATTCAAAGACATGAGAATCAATAAAAAAGTAAGGAAAATTCTTCCAATTCATATTATTTTCTTTTCTCCCTCCCTCTCTCTCTCTCCCTCTCTCCCTCCTAATATCTAGAGTTCTCTTCCTCAAACTGCCGTTTGTCTTCATCCAAAAAATGGGATCGTATTTCAAATGCCACCTTAATCATGCACTAAAAAGTGTATTTCGTTTTTAGAAGTTAAAATAACAGTATTTTTTATGAGATATATATGATTCATATGAATGATTTGGATGGAACAAATGAAATTTGGGTGGAATGTATGTCCTATATAGAATTATGCATGTGCAAGAAGGAGCCACACCTGGTGGATCTATATATTAGTTGCATGACCGGACAAGCATTCTCTCCACGGACAGTGTCAAAATTTAAGAAAGCTTTGTAAATTCACGTTTCTTATATTTTATTCGTCAGAAGTTGTTGAGAAAATAAGGGCGAAGAAAACAGTAACGACACAAATCCAGAAGAACACAGAGATTTAACGAGGTTCGGCAAAGATGCCTACGTCCTCGGGAGCAGAGCGGCGAGTTCCTTTCAATAATCAGAAAAGAGTTTACAGAATTCAGAGTACCTCCTGGGGTTACTAACAGGCCTATTTATAACCCCAGGAGTAAACCTAGGCACAATATGTAATTACAACATTACCCCTGTACCAAACCGCGGGGCTTTGCCCCCGCACCCCAACCCACGTAACTTCCCAATTTGGATATATTCACAAAATTGAAGACCACATGCAGCTGCTATAGTTTTATCAAATGTACTATATAATTATTTAAACTCAAAGCAAAAGGCACTGCAGATTCATCTCCAACACCATCTTCCGGTTAAGTTCAACAAAAATCAATACTTTTCCGAATGGAAAAATAAGTCAAAAGCAAAGAAAAATAATTAGAAATGTTTAAAAAATAAATAAATAAATAGAAATCAAACCCCATTCTATGAACATAACACGAAACACCAAACAAGACCAATAGAATATCAGAATTTAGTGCTGGGATTATTGACAACGTCAGCTGGAATATTAGGCATGTTATCGCCGTCAACGGGGCGCCCATTTGACCTCACTTCCACCACGGCCGCCATCGTCTGCTGATAGTATATTTGCTGCAGCCGCTCTACCTCTTTCTTCAGCGCTTCTGTTTGTGCTGCATTTTTATATTTTTCCCATTATTTATTTAAATTATTTGAAGAATATTAAAAACTACATATTTTTTAAGAGAAATGGTGCTGCTCACATTCATATGGTAAAATAAATAAAATTTTATAATATTTGGGAGAAAAATGAGCTCAGAATTTCTTAAATGTCAATTTTAATTATATATATATATATA